CAGGAGCCCCTAGTAGCGTCCTTGCTCCTAGCAGCGATGCCAGGAGCTCCTAGTAGCTTCTTGTTCCTAGTAGTAAGGCCAGGAGCCCCTAGTCGATTGCACCACAAAGTGTTACTTTGAATCAGTTTCTGGGGCTTCTGGGGCGCAAAGAGACACTTAGACTGGCTGAGGGACATGGGCCCTGGCGTCAACGTGACCTTCGACAGTGGCTTCACATCTCCTGAGGACTGGACGTTTCGAGGATAGCTGGCCACACAGAAAAACACTGAATTTTCGGGCTGCTCCGAACGTTTTGATCGCAGGACTACAGCTTCATCACGGACAACAACGATGGAAGTGACGTGGCAGAACTGTGAGCCTGCGCGGCCGTGGACATATGCCATCCTCCTTCGAGCGAAGAGGTTTTAGGAAGTAAGAATACGGAACGTGTTAGGGGATTCTCTATTAGGAGCAAGGACGCTACTAGGGGCTCCGGGCCTTACTAATTACTGGGAGCAAGGAGGCTACTAAAAACAAATACACCGGACCTGAGCGGGGCACAATCTAGCAGATTCGCAAAGTGGGGCACAAGGTGCAAGTGTTCATGCTTAGAGCTATTGGCATTGCAGCCAAATGAGTCGTTTTGCAGGCTACTCTGTGGAGTACCGGCTGTGCCAGGCAACGAAAAGCGTTTGGAGCTCCACCAAAATTAGTTATAGGCATCAATACTTTTATGGAAGGACACTGATATAGATTCATATAATGCTAACTAAATAAATCTATTGTCAATGCTTAGGTGACAGGTCCTTTAAAGCATCCTTGTCATTCCTTGTCCTTCTCTTTCCTTTCAGTCAGCTCTGTGTGAGTTCTTTCCTCCGATCTGAATGTGGTGTGGCTGGGTTCCGAATGTTCACAGCATATTCACGCCGCTCCGCGGCAAGGTCCGCCTGCACTGCCATGAAACAATTACCCAACCAAAAAGGGTACGGAAAACCGCGTTTCCCTCCAAAGTCTCATTGTGGAGCTTCGCATCTGCCGAAACACTGTGATTGACAGTGTTTTCATACACCGGAAAAGCAAAAACCACTAGAAATAGCGAGGTTTTTGAGGTTGATGTTGCCGAAAACACCACTGTGTACGGTATTTACAATGCTTTTATTCTCTGTGAGGCAGAAACCACTGCAAATAGCGATGTTTTTGAGCTTGCCGTGGCCAAAAACCCCGCTATTTACAGTGTTTTTGAACCTGCTGTCAAAAAAGTACTGCAATTTGCGACGTTTTCAACGACATGGTCGCCAAAATCACTGCTACTTGCTAGGTTTTTTACATTTTCGCGCGCAGACGTCAAGCCTTGGCAATGTACAAAAACATTGCAAAAACCAATGTTTCTGCCCAACAAAAACGGCGAAAACCATCACCCAAACAGCTCCGAAATCACAAAATCTGGCCCGGCCTCCCGACAAGACACATGGAAAAAAACGCGTCTCAAAACCGAAAATCGAAGACCAAAAGTAAAAAACACAGTGGTTGTCACTTTTCTCTTGCCGGTTCCGGGCGGGCGCATGCACGAACTAGTCCATTCCGTGCTGTACACAAAAGTGTTTTTTGAAGTCCGCCGTTGCGACCTATCAATAACCAATTGATTTTGGCCAAAAAATAGGTCCCCCCGCAGGTAAACCTGTACCTTACAGTTGTTTATGCACGCCCTGAGCACCTTCGGTGCGGGCGGATTTAGGAAACTAGTTGCCAGCCAAATCCTTTTCAAGGTACTCTCTTGGCTCCAAGTTTTGAGCAGTCCGTGTTGACAGGCGGGACTGACGGCCATGACTATTGAGCTCTACACCACAGAGGCGGGCTTGTAACGGAAATCCAAAAGGCAAGAAGGCAGGCAGGCAGGCAGGCAGGCGGAAGGAAGGAAGGAAGGACGGAAGGAAGGAAGGAAGGAAGGAATGACGGAAGCAAGGAGGGAAGTTTCTCAAAGCATTCTCTGAGGTGAGCCTAAATGCGTGGGGTAGTTAAGTAATCAGGAACAAGTGGCCATGGTGTGCAGTCCACTTATTGTCATGACACAATGCGAATCTAAGGCTTCCCATCTGTGCCAGTCGTTGTGGTTTTAAGCAAGGCTTTGCACTGGCAGTCCAAGGACATGGTGCTCAAAACAGATCACTAGGAGACTAGGAGACGAGGTACATGTCTGACTGAACTTATATAATTGCAAAAACAAATTCATCGATTGAAGAAGATTTGTTGAGTAAACAACAATATGTCATCGTCTTCAGCAATGTGTTTGTTTTCATGTTTTTATTGAACGCTTCAATGGACGAGGGTCTGTGTGGTTGAACATGCGGTATGTCGAAGGCTTGGCGGCCGATTGGCAGCAGCCCCTTCCTATTGCAGGCACTGTTGGTTTAGGTGAAAACCTCCAAAATTGATCAATGGCTTCTCCACTTTGTCTACTCTTAGCCTACTCAGTACACGTCGTCAAATTAGTCAAAAGGCACGTGCTCCATGCCCGCTTTTGACCTGGCACTTTGCACTGCAGGTTCTTCGTGGCGAGCTGGTGGCAGAAACCTCCAAGGCCAGACCAGTCTGGCAGGATGTACATTTGGGACACCACACACCAAACAAAAAACACGAACAAAGATGCCAAGTCAGAAACAGCTACAAATGCAACATTTTGCCAATGCTCTTCAATGTTTGAGTTTGAGGTACACCCTCCCATCTCGCAAGTTTTCAGCGGAGTGCCCAATACCATGCAAGTGGATCTTCGAGATGCCTGTGGCCTTTTGGGCAGCAAAAGCACAACAAGCATTTTGCACACTTGGACTTGCTGCTGATAGTTTGTTCGGTTGTTCCGAGAAGCACCCACACCGGGCACACGCTTTCAACTGGTTTTCAGGAAACAATGCAAATGATGAAGCAATGCAAAGCTCCCTGGCAAGCCAAGCTGTCAAGCGTCCCACGCAGATCGAGCGAATTGAGTCGTTCAGAATTGCTTGAACATCTCTTGACGAGTCCACAACTTGTGTGTCCATGCAGATAGACTCAGATAGTCTCTGGTTTCACCATCGTTTGCTGTTTACCCCATATGCCATTGAAGCTTTCCAGACAGGTCCTTTTCAAACTGCCTTTCTATTTACACCATATGGAGGCCATCGCTATTAGGTTGGCGGCCATTGCTGTTAGTTAAGTTTCCCTAAGCATCTAGGAACCAAATCATTTGTGCGAGCGCTTCTTCAAGGAAGCTTCCTCTGCCGCGTCCTAAGTAGTAGCTATTTAAGCTACTGGCTACCTCTTCTACTAGCTAACCTACCTCACCTCTACTTGTGGCCTCCCCCCCAAAAAAGATGCAGGTTGTTCTTTTCTTCTTCGTCCTTTTCGTTAGCTTTTCCTTTTCAGGTTTGTACATCTCTTTGGAGCGCATCGAGAATGGTACCCAAGAGGCGAGGCAGCGCACGCAGTGCACCTAGCAGCTTCATGCAGTGAAGCTGCGTTTAAAGACTATTCTGTTATTTTTTTGAACACTTTTTTTTCTTTCTATGTTAATTTTTAGTTTTCTTTTCACATTTTTGACCTTTTGACCTTTGGACCTTTTGACCTCTGAAGCTGCTAGGCCCTTGTCTTTGAAGCTGTGCGCTCCACTCCGGGAGAGGCACAGCCTCGGGCACACAAGGGTTCCGGCACAAACACACACCACGAGTTGGCCAAGAATCTCTGTCAGAAGTGTCCAAGTATACTTACATTCCAACCTCTTGCTCGCTTACTTAGACTGGATACGATGCGGAGGTTTTGTGTCTTGCTTTCGCGTTAGTAGAGTATCCCAAGCCGCCTCTACAACGGAGCCCTACGGGCCCCTACTTGCATCCCCGATCTTTCGAGGTCACGGTCTTCTTCACTCCCATGCAACGTGGCGAGCACCGTTTGGTGGTCCTAGGCGTGTCAATGCCCGCTTCCCGTAACGCCGTCTGAAAGAGAAAGCTGTTTCTCCCATTCTGCAGGCGATGGCGTGCCGGTGCAGCGTGCACCAATGTACTTCACCGTGATGCCAGCCACTTCAGTGCCCGACTCGCGCAACTGGCTCCTGCCGGCCATAGGAGCGCAGCATGAGGGACGATGTCGAGAGGGGCCTGCTTTTGAGCACCCTAGGCTAGGAGTTGTTTCGTTATGTCCATTTCAGGCAGGGTCGAGGAAGCATTGAGTAATTGGACAGATTGGACATCCTATTTTCGGGAATGTTGGAACAAGAACGCTACTAGGAGCAAAGGGCATCGCTACTAGGAGCAAGGACGCTAATCATTGGATGAATCGCTGTTACCAACATAGAAGCTTTGCTTTCATAGATCATTGATGATCATTGAGGATCGTTTGACTCACCACCAAGCATGATGTTTTCAGTGATTTGTTCACAGCATTGCTTACTAAACATGTACAAGTGAGGTTGGAGGCCATCCCTTCTAGGTTGGAGGCCATAGTAGATTGGAGGACATCGCTTCAAGCATTGGAAGCATGTATTGCTCCTAGTAGCGATGCCGGGAGCCCCTAGTAGGGTCCTTGTTCCTAGTAGCGATGCCCTTTGCTCCTAGTAGCGTTCTTGTTCCTGGAAGTTCTGAAAGCAAAACCAGGCGCCTCAACGCAGTCCACCTTCGAGATCTTGAACTCGCCATGCCACGCGGGCGACTTCGCCACCATCAAGGCGTTCCATGCATTCCATGCAATGGAGTCATTTCGATTCAAACGATGGAAAAGATCTTCTTAGGTCTTTTTTGTGAACCTCATGTCTTATATATATACATATTTAAGGACGCTACTAGGGGCTCCTGGCCTCACTACTAGGAGCAGGGACGCTAAGGAGCAAGTAGCTACTATATAGTAACAAAGTTCTTTTGTCCAACAAATACCGGGAGATTTGTATCGAACTTCGACCCTGTCGGATCTACTTTCCAAAGGTGACAGCCCGAGATATGTGGGGTGACCCGCTGGTGCACGGGCAGCTGATCTGCAAACTTTTGAAGGCATAGCCCTAGGATAGCTAGCTTTTTTTGGCAGTTGCCCATGTGTGAACTCAACCTTTGCGTTCCTGAGGCACTATGCCTTTATGATCTACTTTTGGCGTGAGATGGAAGGCCTGGATGCTGATTGCATAAAGTGCAGGAATGGCAGGACTAGACGGTCCGCAAGGTGCAGTTCAATGGAACAGCAACAACAGCACTAGCTAGTAACAAGTGCCTCGCTACTAGTAACAAGTGCCTTACTAGTAGTAACAAGAAGGCTACTAGTAACATTGCTTGTAGGTTTTGTGACGTTCGGTCTGACGGAGCGTCAGGTTTTGATGCCGATTCATTGCGTTGTCAGCCTCTCTGCGAAGGACCTGCCGCCCAAGCAACAAGGCCGGCATACTCTGTTTCATGCAAGGACGCTACTAGGGGCTCCTGGCATCGCTACTAGGAGCAAGGGCCTTACTACCAGGAACAAGAAGCTAGAAACAAGAATTGAAGAAATAAATTGAATTAGAATTCAAATTAGCAAAGGAATCTACTAGGACAAAACATCGAAGCAAGGACGCTACTAGGAGCAAAGGGCATCGCTACTAGGAGCGATCGGACGCTACTAGGGGCTCCTGGCCTTACTACTAGGAGCAAGGACGCTATTGAACACTTGCATGTAACATAACAAAAGCAAGCTTGTTTTGTTCACTGTTTAGCTCAGCTTTTGCCTGTGCCTGTTCGGAGGCTTGTGGTCCCTGATGCAAGAGTTACGCTGAGATCTGTTCAGGCAGAGGCGAGGTGAAGCTGAATGGTGCAGACTGGGTTTGCTCGACTGTGTTCATTTTGGTCTCTGTTTCATGTGGCTATTGCTTGAGGGAGAGCTTGCATACTGGCCTTTGGGTTTCGACAATTTTGTGCCGTCCTTCGGCAGAGGTCTATGAGTTCTCGCTTATGTCCAACGTTTCTGGCAACTATCATGGCGATACTTGGACTGAAAGGGTCTTTGCCTGGACTGAAAGGGCCGTCAGCGCCTTGTATCGTTTTGATTGCATATTGTGAGGCCGTGAGTGTCTTAAGACCGGGAGCCTTCTACGGAGTTTGGTACAACAATTTGAACCACTCGAAGCGGGTCTTCACCGAGATGCTGCGAGGACAGTTCCCGAGTTGACGTCAACATGAAACCGGGCAAGACGACAAGCATGCCTTAAGGCCTAGATGAGCCATGGTTTGTTTTTGTTTTAAAGATTACTATTCGGTTGGATGGCATCGCTATTAGGTTGGAGCGGTTTGTTACTACTAGTAAGGCACTTGTTTCTACTTGCTTTTTGTTACTACTAGTAAGGCACCTGTTACTACTAGCGTGGCCAAAAGTTGAAGTGTAGGACCCCTGGAACTGGACTGGGGAATCCACGGACCTGGCGGAACACTTCCCAGCAACAAGCGTCTTGACGAAGTCTGAGATATGCTCTGTGGATCGCAGGGATTGCTTTATTTGGGGAGCTCGAGACTCGTATTCGCTATTGTTTTTTGTATGTAGGTGTATCCCTATTTCAATCTTCTGTTACACTATGCTCAGAAGCTGAAGCCTTTGATTAAATAAATGTCTAAAACATATGCATTTACCAACAGTTTCACAAAGACAATGTGCTAGTGCCCTCAAGACTTGCTGCGAGGTTCTCGTTGCAGATTCTTGGTTGGCTTCGAATCCCAGCCAGCGACAGGCCGCCAACCAGGATGTCAAGCTCTTTTGTTTCGGGAAGCAATCAGTTCATGCTTAACACGTCGATGCTTAGGGATGGAATCGGTTTGGCGTAATCAAGAGTTCCGGGATGAATGCCACAACAACACTATGCCAATCCCAACATCCTCGCTATGCTGGTTCCCATCACTGCCAAACAGCAGTGAAGGAGGAAGATCAATGAATTAACTGGAGACAAACCATGACGAACGAATCACTTGAAAGTACCACCTGGTTATCTACAACACGTTTTCTGGAGATATCCTTGATTTTTATTGAGTGGTTTGCTGCGGGAAAGGGGTCCCGCCCGTTTGAACCCAAGCTTCTACTAGTAACAAGTGCATCGCTATTAGTAGCAAATAGCTACTAGATGCTACTAGTAGCTTCTGGCTACTGGTAGCGATGCACTTGGTACTAATTACTACCGATGCCCCTGCTACTAGTAGCTTCTAGCTACTACTAGTAATGCCCTTTGTTCCTAAGGTCTTCTGAAAATCATGAGGTTTTGAACTGTTCAGACAATCATCACCCGTGTGCTCACACTTCTATCCCAGTACATCATTGAATTACAAAGGGCAGGTGGCAGTCGGTCACTCCAACCCAGTGTTGTCTGGATCACAGTCATGATAGTCGAACAAAGCCACCAACAAGGACAAAGACCACTAGCAAGTCCTTTGGTTGTGTTGTTGTGGAGTGAAGATTGTTAATCTGGGGAAGGTGCACAGGACTTGCTTGCACTCGCATGGAGCGGCTTCAGAAGGTTTCATCAACACTGACCAGTGAACAGAACGGGTTTCATGGTTGTTGGATGGGTGGGATGAGAAAGGCTATATATATATATACATATATCTACAGACACATACAACTCAAGAAACTGCAACAAAGTAGCACCTGAAGAAGCATCAGGAGCAGGTGCAGGCAGTCTTGATTGAACAGTCCGAGCTGCAAGAGTAGGCAACATACTGCAGGAACGCAACAAGGTTGGAGCCGCAAGGATCAAGCAACTTCAAGAAACATGCGCGTGTTGGATGTCCCAAGGTCACCATTCATAGTGAATTCCTTGGTGGGTCTCCTGATTGCTTGGCCGAGCAGATTCTGCCTTCACAGAGTCGCGTCAAAGCGCGGTGAACTGAAATTTGCGGCTGTCGCGCTTGAAGAAGCAACTGCAAGAGAGGTCGAAGCTGTGATATTTTGCGACGAGATGATGTTAGTTCAGCAGGCCTGTAAGGAAGAAGCACTGGCAGCAGAGCACAGGCGTTTCGAGGACGTGGTTCACTCGCTGTGAGAGAAGTATATCTCAAGAAGCAAGTGCCTTATTAGTAGTAACAAGTGCCTTACTAGTAGTAACAAGAAGCTATTAGAATTAGTTTAATTTTAGTTTAATTCTAATAGCTTTTTGTTACTACTAGTAAGGCACTTGTTATTAGTAGCGTGGCACTTGTTACTACTCGACAAAAGGAGGGCACGAAGTTAGGGCACGACGTTTGTCACCGTGTTACGTCGACATTCGATGGACCTTGCTTGTGGCGCCAGGTACACGTTCCAATTGAACTCCGACACTGGCGGTCGTGTATTTCTGAATGGCACAGAAATATCCCCAAGTGGCTCCAGCGGTGTCTTTGGTCAATTTCAGCTCTTGATTTGTTGTGTTTTAACAGATTTTAAAACCTTCACCCTTTTTTGTTATCTCCCTTCCCTCCTTCTTTCGTTCTTGGACGTCACTTCTCACTTCTCACTGCTTCGTTTCGACCGGCTTGTGTCTGCAGTCTCTTCTCGCCATGCGACATTGTTCTGAGGTATTGACCGGGGCAACAGTGCTGTAGACATGGCTGCTGAACTTCAGCAAGGCCTGGAATAAGATTCTTCATGAAACAACAGCTGCGACAGTTGAGCTGCAACAGTGCCTGGTCATGATCCAATCTGTACCTGTCCGAGGTTTTGTTCCGATTGAGATCTTGCAACATTGCTGCACAGACTTACCATATCGCTGATTTTGTGTGTTGGACCAAAAACCCATGCACCTTTCAGAATGAAACAAGAAGAAGGAGAAGGAGAAGGTCTTAGACTTGCAATTTTAGAATTCTTTCACTTCCACCAACAATACTTCTACACAACTACATGGGTGTGGTGTCTCATTGTGCTGCTTTGATTCATACTTGTGCGTTTCTCCCAGGTACGACCACTGGATGGGTGAGACCACCCGTAACATCCCGGCCTTTTTGAGCTTTGGTTTCGGGAGCAACACCGTGCCATTCCACATTTTGCAGGCCGAGGACATGTACTACGAGGAGATGTTCCGTGGCAATGTTAAGCATATTTTCTTTTGAGTTGCTAATGGGAGTGGCATCCAAGCTAGAAGCTGGCCTCCAACCTAATAGCGATTTCCCAAATATTTTCTGAACAGTTCACTTGATCTCTTGCCCAAAGCATCCCTTTGTGAACTTGGGAACACCTTGAACCACAGATTTTGCACCGAGGTTGCATCAGCCGTACAACCCCTTCATGCACGTGGTGAACCCTGCCATTGACGCACAGACCTGAGAGATTGGTGAACCGTGCAGACCTGAAGACATCCGTGATGGCCGTGTCTACCGTGATGGCCTTCAACGTAGCGATGGCCTCCACCCTAGTGTGCTAGTGACTTCTACTCAACTTGGAGTCAAGGTTCACAGCTTGGAGGTTGTTGGGGGCTTGCGAAACAATGCCCTTCATGGAGTGGTTGGAAAGGACGCTCTAAGAGAGACAAGAACCTGTTCGGAAACACAGTGAAATTGAAACATCACGGTCCTCTTTGGTCGTTTTTCTGGTCGCAGGACGTGTTTCTCCGTTTGCAGTCTGCGGATCGCTACGGCAATTTGCAGACTCGTGACTCGCCGGGACTTACGTTGCAACCATTCGAAGGCCCGAAGGTGGTATCATGTCACTAGTACTCAGGGTTTTCTATATGTTTTTAATTTGGACAAAGTTGTTTCCACTTTTTCGCCGCTTTCGGGCCTCAGGCCGCGACCCTGCGTCCTATTTGCACCTCCGCAGTGATCCCCCCGATGTGGCGGGCCGACGTAGCAGCGATATGCTCAGCAGCCGACACTGGAGGATCGAACCATTGCAGAGCGGGGCCTGGGACGTGGTGCTCATTCCCGAAGGCGAGAGAAAGGGGAAGAAGGAAGGAAAAGAGGAAAGGACTTTAAACGGAAGGGAAGGGAAGGGAAGAAGGAAGAAGGAAGGCGTAGGCCGACGTATGATGGCCGACCTTTCTTTTCGAGGTACACAAAAAAGGCATCAAAGGTATACAGGAACGAAGACAGGAACGAAGACTTTGGGATCTCCGCTTGAGAAGGTCGTGCTTGCTTAGTTGCTGGAGGTGGAAGTTCAAAACGCAACGAAGAGCAGATGACTTCAAATGACACAGAACGGTTATAACTATTATATAAAAGATGGCTATTAGGAGGCCATTGCTATTTAAAACAGTTCACCTCCAGAGAACGGACTTTCGTAGCACAATTGGAGGCAGCTGGAGAGGGTATCGTTCTCTTATGTGGCCTCCCAGCTGGCTCATATTGCTGTCAAATTCGAGAATAACAATAAGTCGCTCCGCAAAAGAAACACGTTTGACAATCATAGAGAAGACATATGGAAAGTTGATTTGACAAGTTGTTTAAAGTCGCTTCGTTCAACTTCAGGCCCTGCGCCTCAAGCGCACAACTTGACCTTTGAGCTCTACAGTCAAAGCTCTGAACTCTTTGGTGGGCTCCGCCCGGTGGCCACTACCAGCCTCTTGCAGCTTGGCTGGAACGTCAGGGTAGAATCTACCCGGTAGATAGCATCCAGATTCATGTGAATGGCACAGTTTATAGATCAGATTGACTGACGAGAACGCAAAAAGGTAAGGCCTTTGGGCTGAAGTACCCCTTACCAGAAGTAGCAAAACGCAGGTCACCGTCCATGGGCACTGGCTTTGCGTAGGCGTTTGTTCCTTGCGGCTATCCAGTTCTTTTTTCAATCTTATGTTTGGTACGAAGCTGGAGGGTTTTCGGGGACTGACCCCCAAAAGAAAACCAAGCTAGAATTTAGTTGGTACGCAGTGCTTTCCCAGCTGCTGCACGGCATGGATTGACGGGTTGCTTTGCGTCCAGCCAGCGGCCACCGGCCGTCACAAAGAAAGTATGTACACAATCCGCCCAGGGCTCTTCTTCTTGTCATCTCTTGTTAGAAACTAGTATATAACAAGGGCATCCCTACTAGTAACTGTTTCCTGAGGTGGTAGATCATGAAAACCCCATGCACTCCGGCATGGCACCTTTTGAGTTGAGGTTGCACCTCTCAGTGAACCTCCCGGTGGCAGAGACTTCAAGCCTTCTTTGTGTCCCTCCACCACCTTGGCCGGTGGGCGTTGAAGTAACCTGCTCCTTGATCAGCAATACGACTGAACGCCTTGATCTATGGATTTCCATACCTCGATAGACCCTAGGCTCGAATCGACGCCAGGTTCATTAGTGCCTCGTGACGTCCAGGGCAACGAGATTCAAGGCGCCAACTGAATTGTGCCTGATCCTTTTGGTGACCCACTGCCGGCTCTACCGCTCACATTCGGCACAAGAGTCTTTTGGCCAATTTCGAGTTGATGAAACATCTCCATCTTGAGAACAAGAGATGCAATGTATTTTCATGTATTTTCTCAATCTTAGTCTTGATCCTGAGATTTTTTGTGCAGTGGCTTTTGTTCGCAGCATGAAGACTGAGCTTTTGGGGGGTCTTCCGCCGCCGTAGTCATGGCAATGAGTCTGGTTATGCGACGCATCGGCGCCCTGGGGCTTTGCACCAACTGTTGTCCTGAAGTAAGGACAATGCTTGTGCTTTCTGTGCTGTCCCTGTTTTCTTTACGCTCATTCTTTTTATTTACATTTTTTTACCTGCTTTCAGACCATTTTCATCCCTTCTGTTCCTTGGTTGTGTCTTTTTTCTTTCAGTGAGGACACTCACAGACATCCCACGTTCCTTGGAGAGACAGATCGGCCGTCGCTCCCGTCGCTCCGCCTGCCCAAAGAGGGGAACTTTCAAACGTGACCTCCAACCTAGAAGCGATGGGCCATGGGTCATAAATCTAGTAGTAACAAGTGCCATGCTAGTAGTAACAAGTGCCTTACTAGTAGTAACAAGAAGCCATTAGAAACAAGTTTGATATAGTTTAATTAGAATTATGACAACCGATCCCTGGCCTTAAGCCATGTACCTGCTGACGCTTTGAATCCCTTCAATTCCATTGCTTCTTGGTCATGGAGGTGGGACGAAGTGGAATGACAACCTCAGCAGCTGACTTCTTTTCTGTCAATTTTTCTTTACTTCGGCCGATTCTCCTCATTCGCTCCAAGGCGGCTTGTGGCCAGTGATGTCCTTCTATGCAGAGCTGCAGCAGCGACAAGACGCCACAGAACTTTTGGAGACGGTGAGATGGTTGCTCCGTTGAAGACGTTTCTATTGAATACTATTTCTTGAGATTTGTACAAGCTCTTGAATGGATGTATCAGAAGGGGTTCCTTTTCAATTTCCATTGTTCCCGACCCCTTTTTGAACCTTTTGCCACGCATTCTTTGTTATACGTTTTTGGGCCCTTCTTGAACCAAGTTCCGAGGTACGTTGACGCTGCGGCGGCGAACTACCGCAGCTTAAATCGGCAGTTGCGCCACGGCGGCCGGCTGCAAAAGGCTGCGCTTGGTCACCGGCAGCGGCTGGACCAATTGGCCAAGATTGCGCCTCCTCTCTTGGAGCCTCTCACGCTTTGGCGAGGCTTCAGCAGTCTATCCTTCGTGTCCTATCTTCATCATCTCCAAAAGGCCGACCAAAACGGAGACAGTTGTCTAGTTTGTCGACGGTTCCCGACGGACAAGCATGTGTCATGTGGCCCTGCAAGGTGGAAGATGATGAAGATGGGAGCCAAAGCAAGGACAGCTTCCCATTACCTTGCATCGATGGGAGGATGCTATTAGGTTGGCTATCGCTTCTAGGTTGGAGGCCATTCCAAATAGATTGTTGTTTTCTCTTTTTGTGATTATTTCTTTTTTCTTTTCTCTTTTTTGTTTTTGGAAGGCTCTGGGACCTGTCGGGTAGTCCCCCCTACCCGATAGGTTTAGGACAGTGTGCCTTAGGACGCGCCGGCCGCGCATGGTTGGCTGCGTTCGCCTTTTGAGGTTTTTTCTGAGTCTGCTCTATCTCGGGTGTGACGGTGAGAAAGGAACCTGGCTGGCACAGGAGGCTCCGGCGGGGCAGAGCGAGGGCGAGAGCACTCCTCCTCCGACAAGGTGGGAAGTCGAACAAGGCTACCTGGAGAGCAGCACAGCGGCTTCTCTTCCACCACGGGAGCTCCCTCACAGCCAAGGTGAAGAAGATTCTGAACATGCCATCGAGGTGGGTGTGCGGTTGTCTGCACGTGAACGCTCCAAAAGCAGAATACTGCGGAGGGTGCGGCTATCATTACAGCCAGGTGAGCTGGAAACGAGAGAAGACGAGATCCAAATCCCGACAGCGGCAAGAGGAGCAGGATCCCTTCACACCAGCCACCAAGCCCAATGCCAAGGAGATCTCTGGAGAACCTTGGCCAAGCACTACTCCGAAGGGGCGCATGCGATCAACTATGCCTGCTCAGGCTGCAGTTCCTACTCCTCCTGCCTCGGCGGGAGCCGGAGGTTCTGCAGCGGCCGCAAGCACTGGCATTCAGATGCACTTGGAAGCTTTGAAACAGCATTTTGGCGCGGGAGCCAACAATGTGATCAGAGCCATCGACCAGTTGGAGCAGAACCAGGATTCAAGTCCGAGGCTCACTCATGGACACTTGTCCAAGATGGGGCGTGCACAGAAGCAGGTGGATGCCTGCAGGAAAGCCCTGCAAGACAAGGACAATGGGTGGAGGACTTTTGTTGCAAAGGCCAAGAAATCCCTGCAGGACAGGTTTGTGGCCTACCAAGATGCCCGTGTCAAGAAGCAGGCAGAGCTCAAGGAGGCTCAGGACAACTTGACCTTCGTGAGACAGGAGGTGAAACAGGTTGTGGAATCCCTCAGAACCGATGTCAAGACAGAGGAATCGGGTATTCCAGTTCCAACTCCGGAGGAAGCTCTGCTGATGATGGGCCATACAGAGATTTACAATCTGGAAGATGGAGACCTCGACGCAGACGACATCGAGATCCCAGATGGGATGGAAGAGGATCAAGAGATAGTCGACAAATCTGCTTTGAAGGAGCTTCCAGATGTCAAGGCCTTCTCGAGGCGCAGGAACTCAGCTGGGTCGGCGGCCAAACCTGGATCACCCAAGCAAGTTCGACAAGCACAGTTGAAGGCCAAGTCAGAAGAGAAGAAGAACAAAGAGGAGCCGAAAGAAGCTGGTGGGGGTTCAGCGGTATAAGCTCCTTGTGCTTCTTTGAAACGTTTTGTATGTTTGGGGATGGCTTTCCTCCAATCCCTGTTATATCCCTTGGGCGCCCTTTTTGAAGTTTCACTCATTTTGGGCTGACTCCTTGAGGGTTTTCACACGAATTCGATGCTTTCGTCCAAGCCGTCTCATGGAACCCAGCTTGACTAGCCTGCATGATTTGTGGACTTTGGTGTGCAAGGGCCTCCAATTGCTGGTTGTTCAATGCACTATCTTGCTTTTGGAGTTGGGGATGATGTTTGGATGCATTGCTTCCACATTGCTGTGGAAGGGCAAGTCGCATAAACCACGACCTCTTCGATGTGAGCGGAAGTCAAGATTGATGAGAAAAAGACAGAACATCTCTTGCCTTCTCGTGTATTTGGTCCTATCGTCGGGTGTGGAAGGAGCTGCTCAGCAATGTGCAGCTGATGACTGGGCACCTTGGGATGCCTTGTGGGAGGAGTCTCTCTATGAGCAGTCCCTGAATACGCTTCGATTCGTCTCTGAACATTTGGATCAATGGATTCTCCCTGAGGGAGCGCCCATGACTTCGGATGAGACGACACTTATGCAGGCAGCTGCTATTTTTGTTGATCCTGCATCACCACGTGAGGGAACTCTGGCACCTGTATCTGAAGTTGACTTCTTTGATTCAAATCGAGGAGGCGGTTTCATTATGATCTGGGTGCACACTTTCCTCTGGAGGCATCAGATGCAGTTGAACAACTTCCGTGTTTCTCTAAGGAGGTTCCGTGAGAGACCTATGTTGGGAGGGAGCCCGTTGCGGGACCTTTTCCCTATGGGAAGCATGTGGCAAGAGATTGTGCCTGCACCACCACCAAGCAGCTTGAGACATTTCGTTGTTTGGGAGGATACACATACATACCGATTCAGTTTCTTTGTGAGCTTCCGCCGCCTCTGGCAGTCCTGGCATGGCAGTTTCCTAGAGGAGGCTGAGATTGGGCAGCTGGCAAGGATAAGTGTGGAGGAGCTCTTTGATCGAGGCACGCATGGTTGCATCTGTTCGCAAGAGCCTTGCAAAATTGTTGCACCAGTGCAGGCCGAGTTTGGCGATACACTGTTGCTTGAGCAAGGAACTCACCTTTTTGCAGTTTGCCTCCCGGAACCCAGTTCCTCAGAGGGGTCGCTCAACTCTGCTGATTCTGAAGGAACGACAGTGCAGCCTTTGTCAAGTTCTCATGATGAAGAATCTGGGGATAACGACACTATGAATGAGGAAGAGGAGATCGAGCAAGAAGCTATGTGTTTGCATCAGACTCAAGCTCTCTCCTTCCGTTCATGGAATAATATGCTGGCAGACGGGCTCTCAACTCCTGTAGCTGATGAACAAGTAGCTGACCGGTCCCTCAGGGAGGGTTTGGATGATGTGGGCTCCTTTTTCCAGCACAGTATTGATCTGCCATTCTGGTTGCGCTATGCGTCGGTTACAACTGAAACCCCACCGGGTGTATGGGGGCGAGAGGAGCTGATGATCAGTACTACCAGCATTTTGCACTTTGATGTCATTGCGCAGGAGGCCAATATGATCTTGAGATCACGAGGCCTCCCACCCAAGTTTGTTGTTCACCAACCTGGGTTGGATCTGCCGAGAAGCTTTACCTGGAGTTGGACGGGGAGCCTGAATGAAGTTGATCTGAAGCTGGCCATCCGCCTTAGTTTTCAGACTATTGGGCCTGACCATCGAATCCTCATTGGTTATGTGGACCCACAACCTACCCCGAACCAACAGGGTGGAGCTGATGACATTCACCTGCTGTTGTCGGACCATTGGCTTGTCCACTCGCGTGTACCAAGTCTGGTCGTGATTGAATTCGTTGACTTGAGCCAAGATCCTTTTATGAGAGCGATTGAGTGCAATCTTGTCACTTCGAAGCAGCAGGTTATCGAACTCCTCGGTGTCCAAACTTTCTGTGCCACTTCTCATGAATGCAGTTTATTTCTGGATGGAGTACAGGAAATTCACCATGAACTATTCCGGATCCGGGGATGGCAACGTTTGGATTTGCAGTTGAGATCATCCTCCTGCAATGCTAGGACAGGTTTATCGATTGACCTGTACATGGCAGACCCGCCCAATGCAGGGTTTGAAGGAGGCATGGAG